TCCATTCAAATCCAGCACCTATATCCGGCTTTTCGAAATTGACATTTTCTTTCTCTACGAAAATTCGAATGATTTTGAGGGCCAACTGATGCAATAACCCTGTTTTTTCGATTTTGCAAGGGTACGCGATTGTTTTTGCATGAATAATGCCTAACCCATTTTTCTGGCCCAGACAATAATGAGCTAGATGCACCTATCATCTTGTGAAAAAATGGATTCGATGATGGAAATTTCGAAAAATAAGAAGATCTGAACAGGTATTATTGGCATGATAGAACAAAGAGAAAGCAAGCAATAAAAAATAGGATACTTGAGATGTGATTCGCTTATGTCTATGGATGAACAAATATAATAGGTTATAATGAATTATGACACTGTCCTTGAAAATAGAACCTACCATAGACATAAGCTAATCACTTCTAAAGTATATCCCAATTGTATTGCTTGCTTTCTTTTTATTCTACAATGCCAATAATACCTGTTCAGGTCTTCTTTTTCTTCGAAATTTCCAGCATCGAATCCATTTTTTTCAAGATGTTAGGTGCATCCGGCTCATTATTGTCTGAGCCATAAAAATAGGTTAGGCATTATTCATGCAAAAACAATTGCGTATCCTTGCAGAATCGAAAAAAGCAGGGTTATCACATCAGTTGGCACTCAAAATCGTTCGCATTTTTGTAGAGAAAACAAATCACTTTTTAAGATACTCAAACGACCGGCATTTTAAATATTTTCTTACAAAAATATATTTCACTCCTTTTTTCTCGTTTTTCGAATCGACGTTTTGAGAACACGAGTCTCCATCAGTACATCTGATTGTGAAGCCTTTTTTCAATCCATGTAGCATACAGTAAAACGGAAGCCCCGAAGTACCACTGGTGGTACTGTACCATCACGTGCACCATTTTTGAGTTCAGAACCTCAGATTCCGTGTGCTTTTCATTTCTTTTGTTGGGCTCACACCGCATGCGATTTGTCTTATTTTTACACACAAACCAAAAGTGAAAGAGAGGTAATAAAAAGTCTCCTTTCTCTCTGTTCTTTGTCTATTATCAACACTATAAACAAGAGTGAGCAAAACCTCTGCCCTGACGTTTTATGTGGAGATACTCCGAGCGAGTGAAACAACACCACCAATCAACATTGGCAATTTCGACGATACGCAATAAGTCAGAGCGGAAATGACGCGAGTTCCGAAGATGCTGATCGCTTTTGCGACCATATTAATCGCCCTGGCCGGTGAGTGGCAATTTTATTTCATACATTTTCCCTCCTTTCTACGCTTTTGTATTGTATTGTATTGTATAGTACGTGTAGTTCCACTACATCTGCGTTTGTGTGAAAATGAGCTTGAAGCCGTACACGCTTTCGACCTCGAGTTGACAATACAGGTCCGCTTTTTACAAAACGTGAACCCACTTTTCGCACGAAGGCCTGAACTGCCCAAAGGGCTTGCCGAAAGGGTGATGGATTCAATGGGGATATTATGAAGCTTTCATGTCGAGCTTATTCCTTTCGTATTTTCGTGATTCATTGGAGCATATGGATTGAATCTATGCTCCGTTTGTTTAAACGTGCCCTGCGCTATGGAATGAATTCCGCGTCATTCTGCTCAAATTTCAGTAATGGAGGTCAGGAGGTCCTTCTGTATAATTTATAGAAGGCATCAATAGCTCAAGACGCAACTGAAGAAGCACGTCGATGTTTAAAAAAATAGGAAATAACTGTTCATTCATGAAACTGCTGTTCAAGCGGCGAATGCTTCTAAAATACTGTGTGCACACACCACACACGATGCGCCACACTTGCGATCGAAACCATCGATCGTTTAGTGACTCCTACCTTTAGAGTGAACGTCTTCGGCACAAAGTTTTTTACTCTATAGTAAGATGTCGCTCAAATCTTCCGCTGGCGAGTGTTCAGTAATCGCTTTTCAGTTTCCTTTCGAGACTCACAGATTCCCTCGAAGATGACGCTCGCGTATCTGACAGGGTGAATAATGTGGGATCACCGTACACGACGATGAGTCAATAACTGATTCATATGCAAACTTCCTACAATCGCGAACCTCTCTGAGTTGAACTTCAACTTCAAGGTACTGTACCAACCAGCGAACAAATTCGAGTTTGGTGGGTTTAGACTTGGGGAAACAAGCAGTTTGTTAGGCAAAGAAATAATTGAGCAAAATAATAATTGGTGATATTTTTTGCTGGGTTTCAAATTCGTTCTTGAATGAGTTTATACGATGCTGAACTTATGGTTCTTTTGCCCAATCAGTCTTTCACTTCCTTTCAGTAACAAATTGAGTTGAATCTTCGTTGCTTTTCTCTTTCTTGCATCAAATGCTTGCGAAAAAGCCTCTGTGAAATTCCATTTATGGAGGTTTTTGATGGGGAGAGCTTTCGAGTTGTGATTTATTGTTATGCATTTTTTCCTATTATGGAATTCAGATACGGACTCGGAAAAAATTCGACACAGGGAGTTATTCGACGTAAGGAGGTTCAAGCTATTGAGTTTCAATTGGATGTTGTAAATTATTTTACATTCAGACTTCTGTTCATTCATGCATATATTTTATGTATTTTGTGGGGAGAACAAAATTTGAACGATTTTCAAACGAGAATTTCAATTCAACGATTAGCAAAAATTGATAAATGTTATCGTTCGAATAGCAATTTTCATTTTAATAATTTCGCACTCAAATCTTGACATTCCGAATGGACATTTGTCATCCTAGTGCACACAGTACTGTATTTTAATACAGACAAAAGAAGTTATCATTTTTATCAAGCTGCCTAAGCTTGAGGTACAGTACGTCTTTATATGCGAGAACTGTCCTAGTTCGGCGTGTCCATATATGAATAGCTTATAGCATTCCTCAATGGATGCGAGTGATATTTCAGTGCCGTCTGAGATTATTTACAAAAATTTACGAACATCGTGTTCTTGTTTTTCAAACTGACGAAGAGGGCTGGTAAAATTTCATTGGCTAATGGCAACAGTATGGCAGCTCCATTTTCCCAGTTCCACGCACACTCAGAAACGTTTAAAATATGAAACAATTTCGCTCTTATCGACCCAATGCAGCTTCAGTAACCCTAGAATGAACGATCAATAAAATCCGGAAAAATTCCGCCCCTCATTTGTCTTGGTTCACTTCGTTTAATTTGGATCGATCAAGAGGCAATGCAGTAAAACCTTGCTGCAACAAAGGTTTGGGAGTAAAGGAAAAGTTTGTTATACTGAATAATTTTTATAATTGGATTTTCAAAATAAATGAATGGAACATTTGTTTTACGTCAGACCTTCTACCTATTACAGTGAGACTCCCACATGCGGACGTCCTTGTTGCATAAAAAGTGTCCTGATGTTGGAATGTCCCTAAGTTGAATCTCATCTTCCCTCAGACTTCAATGCTAATGCATATAATTGGTTCCCCCTTTTTTAGAAATTTGAAATAAGTCATCAAAACATTTAATAAAAATTGTCTCCCTCAAATTCAAATTGCAGAAAACAACAATGCAGAACAAACCACATACTGATCTTTTGGCATCAAAAGGAGATCAAAAAGCAATGGAAAATAATAAGTTTTGCTAGAATATGCACAGATGATAGAAAAAACTCTGAAAAAAGAAGCACAAAATTAGCTTTTGTTATTATGAATGAGAGTGAATCTATCATTAAATATTTTTGAATTTTTGTGAATATAAATAGATTGATTTGTTCAAAAGACATCAGAATTAAAAATAAAACGCTTTTGATTTCTTGAGAAAATTTCAAAAAAGTGTTGCTATCTTGAGCCAATGACCAGATGTTGGGCCTTATTCTTATTGTTTTCAAATGTGACTAGTAAAATTGTTCATATTTTGGGATGTCAGCATATATTGTTGTCTCACTGTATATTCAAGATCTTGCCATTCTTGGATTTTGAAAATTTCTTAATATTTTTTGGAAAACTTGGGGATCTTTGCTATAAAACAAGAACTTGTCACCTGAATAAATTTGACTTCACAAGCATTTGTTGCGCTGAAAAAATGCGTTGTAATGAGATGTTGCTATGTTGTTCAGAATGCAACATGAATTTCAATTTGGCAACTGCTCTTCCTCAAACATATTCGAGAGGTTTGCACCTTTCTCCAGTTGCGCAGTCTGTGTACAACACATATGCGTCTTATATATCCAGGAAAATCCTGCGCAATAAGCTCATGATGACGCACCTTGTTGCCTGAACTTTCCATAAACACAGTCACACACCTCCATGGATAAAAAGGAACATATTCGACCTGCTGGCTACCTTCAGAATGACAAGTGATCATTAGTCTTCGGCCCCAAGGACACGGTCTCACTTCTACCACATCAGGCATATGCCTGTTATTGTGCGTATAGTCGGACGTGAGCTGCGTGTGAAGTTCTCATCTTCTGAATTAAATTGAGTTCCATCATTAACCCGTTTCGCATTTATACCTTCGGAATGGCCTCGCATAAATCCCTTATATACGCGACGTTTAAAAATAACTTGAGGATGTGTTGTTTACGTTCGATTTCAAGACTGGAAACAAAGTACAGGATACGCAAATGAACTGAAACCTGCAGTTTCAAAATGAGAAATGGTACTCGTTCAGATCCGCGTTCATTAAACTCGCAGATCGTAGATAATAATGGAATACCTGCACCTTCGGGATAATCTGACGATAAATAAAAGACTATCCTTTCGGAATATATTCCGACGACGATAATTAAAAGACTATCCCCGGCAACAATCAAATGGTTATTTCAGGCTTCCATGTCCGGAAAGGTTCGTTTCTCTCTCTCTCAGGGATTCTTGAGATACACGGTGTAAGAAAAGAGAATTAAAATTCCAGAATATCCATTAGGCTAATACAGTATGCTACATGTTTTTGTATGATGAGCTGTAATATCAAAATTAGGTTTTCGTCTGCCTCTTATTGATAGACATTTGAACATACACCTTAAACAAGAATTTTTATCATACTCCGCGATTTTGCAGAAAAAAGTGATCCTATGATCAAAAAAGAAGAACCATTTGAAGCCATTTTTGAAATCTTGAAAAGCTCGGGAGCATTGAAAAATCTGTTCAAGATTGAACGTCCACATGTATCCATAATTTTCAAATGTGGGTTGAAAATTTTTTGGTCGTTGATTATTGATCATTCCATAAACTTTTTCCTCTAACCATGGGCAAAAAAGGACATGGGTCACTAATTATACAGGTAGTCTCAATAAAAAAAATTATCGAAGAAAATGCAGAAAAAGTCGCGGCGCAGTTGGATCAAAATTTCAAAAATGCCAATCAAATTACTGTAGAACGAACCTCTCCCAAGATTGGAATTAATGTTTCGGTTCATCATGATCGTTTTTGCGCCTAATTTGTTTGTGAAAGAATATCTTGTATTTTTCTGATCTTCATCCTTCAATAAGTTGAACATGCCTCCGAAAGCGATTGCAAAAATATATCCATTTCATATCCCTCGACTGCTTTCGATGTGAAATATGATCCTTTCTGAAATGTTCAAGATTTCCGAAGATATGCCAACTCAAGCTGCAATACGAAAAAAAAGAATAACTCCCAAGTAATGTTTTTCTTAAGAGAGAACGAAGAGCATTATCCATAGAAGCTATCGCTAAAATTGACGAATCCGAGCATTCCATAAAAAAAAGTTGTCGTTCGCTTGTACTTCATTTATTGATAAAAACATAAACAGAGGTTTGGAGTCAAATCTGTTTTTATAATAAACTATAAGGAATTCGTCAGCATTTCAAAGATGAATGCGGTAGATTTCCTACCGAAATTGTTCAAGCACAGCGGAAATCATTACAAACCTCTTATATACACAGTAGTTGAAATCGTTTCGTGTAAATCGTAATCATCAATTAACGCATTTCCGTGCATGGATCGATGAATAAATTGCTGTTGTAATGTCAATCCAATGGTGTACTCTGAAATTGCTTCCTGATTCACTGCTTTCCAACAATAAAGTATATCTTACCATGTTTTTCTCGACGACTGGTAAAATTAGATTCCTCAAATTTTCAGGGAAAAAAATATGAGAATGTTGATACAGTATTTTAAAATACGAACAAAAGTAAGTGATCAATTTTGCCTATTTTTATTTTCCGTGACGTACAATTGAACTTTTTTTATTCAGGACGTAGTGAAGCATGACTCATAATATTCATCAAAACTTCGCTTTGACATAATTTTTGATTCTACTATGCCGTTTGTCGGCAGAACTACTCAAAATAATGGCAGATTTTTCCGTTTTTCATTGCAAGTTTGGTGTGGGATTGATCCACGTTCAGCGTCGGCGAGTGACTGCAATAATCCTTCCCTATTTTTGGAACGAATGTGTGAAGTCATGAAGTGTGTTTCAATGTGCTGTGCCATGATTTACTTCTTTGAATGCGTATTGTATTTGTGATGAACGCATATACAGTATTATCATTAACAGTATGGAATTTATGTAATGTACAATTATAATACCGCTTCGTTATGTGAATTACTGAGGCTTCAATTTTTCATGATGCGGCAGGCGAACAAAAATAGCCCGATATGGACTCTCTTTCAAACTTTGTTGACGGGTTGAAATTTTTTTTTCCGAAAGGTCATTTGGGGCAAGTTTTGTTTTATTTGCGAACGAAATGAGCTCATTTACTGGATGTCTCTATCACACATCCATGTCGCTCTTTTCAACTGCGTTCGAAGAAGGTCTTCAAGAATTACGACCAGTACACAATAGATCAAGACCTTTTTTTATTTTTCCACCATGTTCACGAGTCACCAGTTTGTCATTCTTCGAACTACGTATTCTTCGAACTACGATTGAAAATGGCAGCACTACACCGAAGCTCAATTAAATTCACGACAAACTGCTTATTCACCCGAGCTCTGACCAAGATCTTGTCCAAAAGTCCATTATCAGTCTTCAGCCTCGTTTCCTGACGAGCCTCCAGGAGAATTTTTTTTAAATTAAACTTTTTCCCTAATACATTCGAGTGAACTGTGAGTGTAATTATGTAGAAAAATTGTACAGTATTATGTAGAAGAAAATGTCTCTCTAAAAGCGCTGTTCTTTTCGGTGATCAGCGGAAAAATATAATTTCAATCTGAATTTAGATATCACCTATACACGATCTGATCGGATTGTTGCAAAATAATTATGGATTTCACGGCGCATGAAATACAAGTGGTTCAGTTCTTTGTGAGACGGGATTTCTCTAGTGAAGTCCTTGAAATGGTAAGCAACTTTTTCTACATAATTACACTCAAATCTTGAAAACTCAAACCTCCCTGTCAAATGCTCCCCTATGTCAAAATGTTTCCTGTCTGAATTCCTTTATGAACAATGCATTAAAAACCTGCTTAACTAGACGACTTTTCCCTTTAAACCTGCAAAAGTTGGATTTTCTGGAGGCTTTTCGGATATTATTTTATTAACTCAGCAGTCAGTAAATCCATAATAATGTAACATGATGTGTTTTGAGAGGAAAGTTAAGACTGATTAGGCGCCTCCAAGTTCATCATCTTGTGAACTCATTCAAGAATCCCTACGTCCAGAATATCACAAACTGCATTTTTGGCGAAATTTTTTTTCTTTCTCAACAACAAGGCTTCTTTTTCCAACTGGAAATCTCCCGGTAATTCAATTTATTTTGCTCATGGTCCCCTAAATAAGTTAGAAGAAGAGGTTTGACGGAATAATATGTGTCACAATTTGTAATTTTTGATTCCTTGGGTATATTTGAAAGAATCCGTCGTTCTTCTAAATTGCATAAAATATTGCATCAAAAAATGAGGTCCCAAAAGATTATGCGCATCACTCATTTATTCATATTTCAATTAAATATATATTTTTTAGTATATACGTGTGTCTCACGAGTCTGTTATACTATTGTGCTGCCATTATTGGTTCGGCATTGCCAGCAATAAAACGCCGAATGGAGTTTATTGTCAGACGGAACAAGATGCTCCACTTGGGAGCAGGATAATTTTTGAACTCGCCCCGAGTGGAGTGAGCACCCGGATGTTGAACAGGAAATGGTTATCTCCGGATTTTACGGCGTCTGGCTTTTTTCTCTTGGCGCACAGTGAATCGATGTTATTGTCCTCGTTTAGCCGAGCAATTCGACTGCTCTGCAAGGAGACCCAAGGAGGGTATTTCCCGTGCATGCCAACTTGATCCACATCAAGTGCTTTTTGGCGGTATATATAAATACGAGGGTTGCTTCATAAGTCTTGAGACTTTTTTTGTTTTTGTTTGTTTAAAGATCCAAGGGGATTTCGACAATTCAAATTGTTTTTTCGCGTGTCATCCCCATCATTTGGCAACACTTCAGTACAACTGTTCAACATACTCTCCCCTGGTTTCAATGCATTACCTCCATGCTATAGATTCAAAGCAGTGCCAAAAATTGAGTTCTGTTTTTATTTCATTATAGGTACCCTGTGACTTCTGGTCATAGCAGACAGTTAATAATGATAAGGAAGGGATTGATTTTGAGAACAGAGACATTCTCATTTCTGCTGTCAAAAAGCAGCTTAACCCTTGGACGGTGGCAGGTCCTTTTCCATTGCATGGCATCCAGTGCAGAAACATTTTTGCACACTTCTGCATTTTGGTTTGACCAAAGTCACCAAAATACAGCTTTGACCAATTAGCCAGCATATATCAGGGAAAATTCCAGAAAGCAAAAACCATTGCCTTCAAAATCTCTCAATGGTAATTCTATGGCAGGAAGGCAGAAAAAAGGCTACCCAGCAGTAAAGATTTTTTTCATGTTTCTGCAGGAATAAGTGGGAAAACAATTCGGAATTTTCCTGACTTCGGCTCTTCAGCTCATGCTAGGTATATCATTGTTTTTCTTTTGTGTGTAGCACAGAATTTTGCAAATGAATCCCAGCAGTGCCACCCAAGGGTTAATCAACTAACAGAACTCAGTTCTATGCTCTGTTTTGATTAGTTAATTTATTGCATGAAACAATTCATTGAAATCGGTGGAGAGTAAATATTGAACAGCACTGAATTTTTGCTTCTGATAGGGCTATGCAAGTAGAAAATCTGTTTAGGAGTTGTTGAAATCCCATTGGATCCATTTATAAAAGTTTCAAAACATACGAACCAGCCCTTGCATAATCAACTCGGTATCAGCGTACAAATAGCAAAGGTTGAGAACAGCACAGAATCCTTCCTTTTTTCTTCCAACTTCAAGTACATTATATTGTTTGAGTTCGGGCTTTCGATTCATGAAACCATGTTTTCGTTTCAGTTTAATTTTCTTGCAAGAAAATTGGAGCAGGAATCGATCACTCGTACATTCAACAGCTTCGGATGATTTTGCAGCTTGTCTCGGCCTCGTAACCGGTGCTGCTGAAGAAACATTTGGGTTCTTCGCAGGGTTTCACGAAAGTCTTCCGAATTGTCGACAAAGTGTCAGAATAATTATTTAAAAAAATCATGAATATCCTTCTTTGGAAACTAATGATCTTATTGTGATCTTATATGCATCTGATTCCCGCTAGAAGAATTAGATTTTTTCATTAAATTTTCAAACCTTGGTCGATTCACATTCAGATAATTTCATGCAGAATCAATTTTAAAAAAGTCGCAGGAACTCATTCGTTTCATAACTTTTTCTATGAGGGATCTGCTCGTCACAAAAGCGCCAAAAACGAGTGATTATGCTGTAAATTGGATCTTGGAAGCTTTTAGGCTCACATTCATTTGGAAGTGATTTTCTCGATAAAGGGATGAATAACCTTGAGAACTTTGGATCAAAACGCGCTCATTGTTTATCCAGCTGTTGTAGTATTGTACACATCTTAGACTCTTATTCATTGCTGGAGCAATCTGTCGGCACGAAAGATTTTACAACAGGTTTTATGCAGTCCCAATGATGAAAATTTGATGAAAAACCCTCCTGGTATTATTTTCAAATTTGGAAAAGATAGTAATTTTTCCAGTGGATTAGCCCTTTGTCTGCGAGCAAGCAGCCTTCGCCTCCGGGGAAGTTTCGAGACCCAGGCTCTGCATAGCTTCCTTTTCTCTTTTTTATATTTTCTACCGTGAGCTGATTCTTTTAAAACGATTCAACATTTTTCCTGTGAGCAGAGAGGAGTCATTCAACTCGAGCTCTGGAAAAAGATTACCCGGCCTTGAGGCCGGCATGTATTATTTTTTTCCAGCATCTCCAAGGAATCTCCCTTGGGCGACTTTTTTTTAAATCTCATGATGCCTTTTTTATTAACGTCAAAGCCTTTTTTCAATATTTTAGGAGAAGCTAGGCATGAAGATTTCTTATCATGTTGACTATGATGTTTGTATACAGTATTTTTATGAATGAATGAACAGAAAGCTTTATTTTCTGCTTTTCAGCATGCACAAGGTTCAATCAACATTCCCACATCCAAACCCCCTCCCCACCCAAACCAAATCCATTCAAAGGCATTCAATCACTTCAGAATGGGAAACAGAGAAAATAGCTGCATATGGAAAACTAAAATAAAAGAAAATACATTCCACAAAATACAACTGCACAATTGATGTGTATGCATATACCCCTTTGTCACTCTCTCAATTTCTATTCAGTAATTGTAGAAGCATTGATTCTCAGTTCTGTGCAATGACATTTACACATTGAAATTCATCTCGTTTTAACGATTTATATTTCGTGGTCCTGGAAGTTTCCTTATACAGTAGTAAAAGACATACTAAACAAATGTTGTTTAAACAAACTCATTTCTGGCTGTGATATAATTATGACAAATTCTCGTCCCCGATTCGAAGCATATATGCCACATGGATCATTTGATAAATGGCTGAAACATGAAACAATTGAAATGATGCATCATTTCAACTTCTTTCAAGTAGCAAAACTTCCTGCATAGAGAAAATGTCCTGATGCTTAAAAAACACAATTTGACATATTTCTTGGAAATTTTTAGCTCCATTTCAGAATGCATGCCTATACAGTATTTTAAATAAAATTATGTTGAAAATAATGTTCCTCAATTCGATAAAACAAACTGGTGAATGAACTTCAGAAGGAAGTATTGTACAGTATTTCTCCCACATGTATTAAAGATACATTTTACGTTTTAGGACAACTGACACGTTAAGTATAGGAACTATATATAGAAAGGCAGGTTTAATGAAAGGACATTTCTATACTATATCGAATTTATATTTTATTATTTTTTCCTCAAATCTTTTGGAAGTATGGGGATTCCTTGTTTTGAAATGGAAGATTTTTTCCGGTTTTCATTTTTTAAGAGTCTTCAATGTATAGGGGGGAAACTTGTCAATTATTCCCGATAAAATGCCTGCCCAAAAGTGCGGCCTATATTCGCTGAAATGTGTCAGAAAGTGGATCACGATGGAGACACTCCTCAACATTCGGATTTTCTCGGAGAAATGTGCTTTGCTCCGAGTTTCAGTTCTGCTGCGGTCGTGAAATTTCACGCACGGCCTGGCCTTCTGGAAATTTCCCGAAGCGCTGAAATCTCTCATGTTTTCCCGCAAAAGGAAAGTGGGTTTCGGAATTTTGCCTCTCTTTCAGCAATGAAAAGAGTGAGAGAGAGAGAGACAGAAAGAGAGAGACACTCTTCACCTTTGGCAGAGGAGGGCGTGAAAGCGATCGGCGGAGCTCTTTTTTCGCGGCTTTTCGAGGTCATTTCCGCCACGAGTATTCCTGTTAATTTTTTTTCTCTCAACATTTCATTCTATTTCATTCGTGCTGCTGCCAGTGAAGCAGTTGAATTGCTTCACTACTGCACGGCATTGAAAGGAAGGGAATAAAAGTACCGATCAGTTCGTTTTCCGCCTCATTCCTGGGGTTTATTCTCCGTTGCACGGCGAAGATTGGGCAAGGGGCGGTTGACTCTGAGCGAAGCGGAATTCAAGGCTTGTTCAGCCACTGAGAAGAAACACACAGATGAAAACGAAGGAGAGAGATATTCGAGGGTTCGTTCACAAATGTTGAGACCTTTTGAGAATGTAGATCCAACGGAGTTTCTACACTTCCCAACAAACAAACAAAAAGACATTTTCCCTGCGTAGCCCCATCATTTGTCAATGTTTCAGTGCTAGCTGTTCAACACGCCCTCCGTGGCAATTTCAAGATTTCTGTATTTACTCAAGTAAAACGTGCACCTTTTTTCTCAAATTTCAGAAGAAAAAAAGGTGTGCACGTCATAAGCGGGTACTAATTTATCAAGCAGTTTTAGGAAGTTATGTGTGCATTATACTTAAGTATAATGGAGAAATTTCAAACAAATGTGACAATTAAACTTTTTGTACTGAAAAAGTTGAAAATTGATCCAATTTTTGTTCAATTCATGTCTGAAGTCAAATTTTTTGAATTTATTTTCAAAATTTTGTGGTTTTAGATTCACTAAAAATTGGGGTGCATGTCTTACTCATGCATAAGATTTTAGCCAAATTTCCAACTGAAAAACCCCTGATGTGCGTGCCTTACTTGAGGACACATGGTACTTGAGTAAATACAGTATTTCTTCATGCAATAAACCAAACAATGAAAGCAGTGTCGAAATTTGAGTTCAGTTAGTTGATGAAGCCACTGTTGGATGGCGGAAATGAGTCTGTCCCTGATGAGCTTAAAATCAATCTCTTCCAGATAGTTATTCAGTCGGGAACAGCCAGAAGTCACAGGGTGCTCAATCAATCAACAAACAAAAAACTCGATTTTCGGCAATCCAACAATCAAAACGCTTAAACTCGATTTTTGCCACTGTTTTGATCGTTGGGTTTATTGCATGAAAAATGCATTGAAATTGGCAGAGTACAGTATGCTGAACAGCTCTGAAAAGTTTCCAAATGATGCTTTTATATATGCGAGTAAAAAGGAAAATTTTGTAAGTTTTGAAACTCTATCCCTTGGATCTATCTCAAAAAGTCTCACAACTTATGACCCAACCCTCGCATAAACGGAGACAAGTGGAGGGAGTCGCCCTGGTCATTCTTGTGTAGTCTTTGGGGACATCACCGCTATGTTCTCGGAATTAATATTATTCAATATCTGGAACTGCATATTTTTTTTTACGTATATGTTTAGACGGTGGTGCAAGCCCATGAAAACCCACACTACACCTTGAACTCGAGTAAGAGAAGCCGTGCCACAGAGAACCACGGAACGTCAGGGAGATTCCGTGCCTTTTTTTTTCGGGTGGTTCCCTGAATTTTTCGGCATGGTACCTCCGTTTTGGGGGAATGGGCGTCATGTACCAGTATAACCCAGCCTGTCTGAAAATAGGTAATACTGTGATGTACCTCGGTATTCGTTCATTATTCTTGATGCCAGCAATGCTTTCTAGGCCCTATAGTTTGAGGTCACGGTTATACAGTATAAGCAATCCTTCATTGTGTGCTATGCTTTTCGTCTTGGTAAATTCGAGGCCTGCGAACCTTCGAAGGAATTTATTTTGAATCTGTTCAAAAAAGATAGACGCATGCATTTTTTTTCGTGTGAATTTTTCTTTTGTTTACTGCAAACCTGCTTATGACCTTTTGTGCGCATCATGCGAGTGCAGAAATCTGAAGAAACAAACGAAGGAATTTATCTTCAATATGTTTTTGATGACTACAGACTCATGCACTTTTTTTCATGAACAAAAATATGACTGGAAACCTGCGTATGACCCTTTGCGCACATCATGTGAGTGACGAAAGTGCAACAAGCAAACTGATGATTCACCAATTATTAAATGAAATACCACTCCAAGTAAGTTTCACAAGTCCGTCGTTGGGAATTCCTTGCGCGTTAAACTGTTTTATTTTCAACTTCATTCGCAGTGTAACGTGTATGTTATCCAATAATATGTTTCTGGACCTTGAGAACTTTTTTCATGCGTCGGGACTCCAAAGAAATTCCCACGCTATGAACTGATAGCTATTCCGACTTACAATTCGAATATTGTCCTGCGTACCAAACACTGGAGGAAAATGCGGGAAATTTTTCGCGTGACTCTCTTGAACATCTTGGTTCCTCTAACCCATTAATCTCAGCTGCTGCAAGTATTGCAAAACCGTAACAACCACTGGAAATCGTTTACGCAGTGCCTCGAAGTTTAAAATTTATTTACTGTATAGACTGGATTGGAAGGAGAGATAACTTTTGGTTCGGCGTTGAAATTGACCTTGTCCTGGATGGAATCATGGCAGATTGCATCAGATTTCCTGGATGGTCGGATTTAATACGTCATGCTTGAAAAAAGCAACTATACAGTATAAAGATTAAAGACCATCTAAAGCTATCATGGTCATCTACTCAATTCGTCAGTTTCAGCAAAAATTCCAGTATGCTGTGCGTCAGTTTTGATGCTGTTTCAATAAGTAAACTTCACATTCAAACCTGTTTCTGCGCCCAAACAGTTCTGCCAAAATCAGTTGATTGAATAAAGTTTCTAGCAGGAGTGATTCATTTTTGCATGAAATTCTAGCTTGCACTTGGTTCATCATAGTTTCAGTCATTGGTGGATATTTCATTTTGACACACAACCATGGCTGGCATGTCCAGTTTAAATTCCATGACAGAGGTTCGCAACTGGTGCTGTGTGATTTGTCAATTTCACCCCACAGGTTCTCAGCAAAATATAGCAGATATCAATTTAAATGTAGTAAAAAAATGGGGGAAAATTAATTTCCATACAGACATTCAAAAACAAGAAAGAGAGGACATGAGAAAAGCTGTAAAATGAAAAATATCGAAAAAAAATTGGCAAGGGCCACTTCATATGCTACTCAAAGCTATGGAAGGTATTGGTTTCATGAAGATTTCTGGAAGTATAGAAAATTTAAAACTAATAAGGGTGGGCTCTCTCTAAAAAATAATTCAAGATAACTTTGTTGTAGAGAACTGATATAACCTGGCAACAGAACCATAATTATGTTGCACAGAGAAAATTGTTGAAGACAAGATCATTGTTTAGAGCAGCAAGCGGCAACCAATGGTCTTTTGGCTGGTGCTATTCTGCAGAAGTTGTTTGCTGGTCTCCAGGAAATTTCTTCCACATAATACAGTAAATGTACCAAAAGTTGTAAGGAAAAGTCTGTTATTGTCACCTTCAATTTTGGTAAGATAGTGGAAGTTGAAATTATCTGTCTAATAGTAAAGGTAATATTTTTCCCCAATAAAACTTCAGATAAATTTTCACCAGCTGAAATAAATAATTTCGCATTTTCATTCTGAGAAACCTTTCTTCAAGTCAAGCTTTGTAATTTTTGCAGAAATTCCACTATTCCTGCCTCATTGGTTCTTAACTTAGCTTTCGCAATGAACTTTTTTTGTTTTGAGGACTTTTTGGTAGGTATGGAAACTTTTTACTGCTGATCTGCGAGCATTTCATGGAACTCTGCTGAAAATTTTATAGAAAATTTCCAGAACATGAAAATTGGACCCAAAAGGGTTGAGGAACACTGGATAGAGAGTCCACCTGCATACTGACTTCATGTCTCAGTGCTGCATAATCACATGCTCCTTTCTAAGAAAATAAAGGGGGTGGTGGACAGCATATTCACCCTGCTGCCAAATGCATGGACTCCTTGGTCTCGCAGTTGCGTTCTGAAAAGAGCCAGCATACTTGCGGAATCCTGAACCAGCTGGAGAAGAAGGAAAGGAAAAAAAAAAGAAATTTGAATAATTGAGCAGCGTGTCTCTCTCTATTTTCCTCCTCTATACTCTCTGTCTTCTCGGATCCTTCCCTCGATCCGTCCTGCAGTGGACGACAAGTTGAAGAAGAAGAAGGAAAGAGAGAAAAAAGAGCCTCCTGCCCGCGAAGAACCTCTCCGTAGGGCACCGTCCGTTGGAGCAAGCCAACCGACGACCGCATGAGCCTCATGGCTACACAGCTCTTCCCTGTCCCACCGCCACCACCACCACCAGGGTGACTCGTGTCCCTGTCCCGCTTCTCTCGCTGTCGCCTCTCTCTCTCTCTCGCTCTCTAGAGTAACCTCTTTCCGTGTCCTCGCTCCGCTCCGATCTCGACGGTGGGACAGGATTTGTCATATTGTGTCCGTCGGTCGTCGTCTTTTGCCCAGTATGTGGGTGCATGCGCGGCCGCCGGTCGCGAGCGGCGTTGCAAAACGAGCGGAATATATTCGGACACCTGTTTGTTATTGGTGATGACCCTCGGCGGGACTCGGGGAAAGAAACGGCGGCTCCCGGCCCGTCTGCGCCGCTTCGGGTTTTGCGCGGCGGCAGCGGCGTCCTTCCAGCAATTCCTTGTACAGTACAGTACTGTACTTGTATTGCGGAATTTTTTGTTGTGCTTAATTCCCTCTGTGACTCTCTCTCTCTTTTGATCCGTGACGATCCGAAGGCGGTGCTCGAATGAGCTGCTGCAGTCCAGCCTATTGTAATGTGTTGCGAATCATTCAGAGAGTGTGTTGGTCATTTTGTCACCTTTTTCCCCCTTTCTAGTGCACATGTTTGATCGCGGGTTGTTCGGATATTAGCACGGCGAGAATATTACAAAATTTGCCCTCTTTTCCTCCGCGAAAATGGGTCGCTGAAAAGCAAGCAGTTGGCGTCTGCACTCGATGTTCAATACGGGGGAATCTCGTTATAGTGAAATGCGAATAGACTCTCTCTGTATGACAAAATTCAAGGGACCTAAAAATGAATCCGTTGTACAGAGAAAATCATTGTAGACAAGATCATTGTAGAGATATAGTCCACGTGTATTTCTTACAACGAATTATGTTTTTGTTTCCTGCGACAATGTTACTTTGGGTATACACAGGTGGACTCTCTTCACAACCATCTTGTCTAAACAACGATTTTCTCTGTAATACGAATTTTATTTTGATGGTCCCATCAGATTCAATCCCCATATGTTATCGATGTCTTTTACAAGAAAATTATTTTATGGTCTCTTGGATTTTGTTGTGGAGGGAGTCCACCTGTAACAATGTTTTTTGTTTATAACGAAGTTTCTTTCAAGCTTCCGGAAGCTTCGTTGTGACAAGATCCTATACTGTATGCGTTCGTGTATACATAAGGGATTAGGCTACAGTACTGACTTTAAACATGCAGCCTAATATCATGTTAATGGCCTCGTTAATTTGTGCTAATTCGGGTTTCAAAGATAGTTCAACGCATCAACGATTTTTTTTAAAGTTTAAAAATACCGTAACCAAACAGAGAGAAGAGTGCATCATTTGGCAAAAACTGCTCACTATAGGACGTTTTCAACTCCGGCCAATATGCATTAATTTTTTGTTTTACTTCAAGCATAGGCCGCATTTTTTGTTTCTTCAAAATGTCCCGTTTTACAATTTTATTGCGAAACGACTGCCCAAAACCAGGGTGTGGCCGATATACCGTAGTCGCATCAATACTGACATAAATCGCAGCGTTTTAAGTACAGTATTATCCAAGCAGTGCGAATGGGTTTTAGTACGTTGGTGCCATCAAACTGTGCACATAAATCGTTTAATAGTGTGAAGACTGTATAACTCTTCATCTTGGTCTCACCTTGAATCCGACTTATCTTTTTCTCAGCAATATTGTACCGTAATCGAGTTCGTATCTTCTCAGGGCTTCGTTTAGTCACGACAGGGACGCGTATAAAAAAATGTAAATAGTCTCCTTCAAGTATACACTAGACAAGTTATGTTTTGTCATACTGGTATATACAGTATATGTTTAGTGGGAATCAATTGATCGATTGATTTGGTTCATTTGAAGATGGAGAATCCCTGCATATTACGACGTAACTCAGACGTACGCTAATGAAGACTGTTTTTAATGAATTTGTAAAAAAAAATCTCAAATTTCACACTCTTGACAATCAATTCTCGAACGAAACGTTCGCACCATCGAACATTTTTAGCGTTGATAAACCTGGCGACTAGTGAAGGTACTCGGAATATGGGGTATTGTTATTTTAGCATTTAAAAATATATTGAAGTCATTTCCCGAATGATACATTACCAAGGCCATCTTTTGGAACGCTTCGTCATTTTTGTGCGCATATACTCAACTCTTATTGCATTATATTTAAAATAAATTACAGTAATGTATATTGTATTTCACAATATCATGCCCATTTTTTGTTATAAAATTTTTCTCAAGACTTTCCATTAATCAATCAAAGAGGCATTTGTCTGAAAAAAATACCCCAAGTTAATCATGATTCATAGTGATATGCTAAGGACCTTCTATGAATCTGCGGAATTCGTATTATTCGGAATGCCGTCTGAACAATTTGCGACTGATGATTGCCTTTTTTAGAGAACACGCAAATATTGTATTAAGTTTTACTGAAATACATTATGTGCATCATTTCAGCGACCTTTCTTACAAGACTCGGTATCATACTGCATTTTAGCGCACTGTTGAAAAGCTGACGATTATTTCGTTGATCATGTCAATATATCCGTGAAAATCAGAGTTTGAGCTGGAGAACCGTATATACCCACTATATACCGATAACTGAGATTTCATAATAACGTGTTTGAAACACTCGAAACACTTCCGGTCGTACTTGTAGATCACAATACCAACAGTTCTAAGCCTGCCACAGAAAAACGAAATTTCTCGGATGATGTACTGTACCGAAAATTCAGCAGATAATTCTTGAGAATATGATTTTCAGACATGTGATTCCAACAGATGAAAGTTTAACAGCTCAATGAGGCAAATGGTCGACTTTCTCTGAAGAGAAAATTGGCTGTCCAAAATCACAGTCTTTGATTCTGGTCAATTTATTGAAGCTTTCTTGACTTCTTATTGAAGTCTAACTCCTCAGACCGACTTTTTAAATTGATAATCTAGCTAAAGTCCGGGAAGACAAATAAGTGGGAGACATCCCTGGAATTTAATTTCGATTTTATTTAATATTTCCGAAGAATTAGTGGTTCATAAAGTAAATCATTGACCTATCAACCGACTTGAAAAGGCTTTGTTGATTTTAACCAAGGAAAGAACTTGAATGCGTCATAAAAATATGATAAACCTTCATAGCTTGCGAAATATTTCCTGGTTTTTATGCTGAAAATTGAATTTTTCACCCTTGTTGAGAAAATCCCCAAGGTTTTCTGAAAGCGCTTCTAAAATGCACTCGGTTCTATGCGTACATTTTTTAAAGGTAAAATTTGATAATATTTCTTATCATTTTTACTACCTAGAAGTCATTTCCAGAATTTGAATGACGCATAAAATACACTGGGAAAATTAGAAGTCAGTTTAATGGGATCTGAAGCAAGCCTAGAGTTGAAATTTTCGGCAAAAATTCAAATAACTTTAGAATAGTTTTATTGAAATAGGCCCTGAAAATCTTGAATATCGTTTATATGTACGAGCGCTATATTTACAGAAAAACTGCATCACAGTGTTACCTGTGCACCCTTTACCCAGGAAGAAATTTGACATTTTTTTGTAAACCGGCAAAAGCCTGATCTGATGAGGCTAATTTTGCACTGATAAAATTAGCTTGGTATATTACTCGAGTTTTGAATCCTCTCCTTGTTACTTTCGTGTGTCTATTACTGACTATTTTCGTCAATTTTATCGGAAGAGTTCAATACTGTAACTTTTTCGGAATTGCCGAAAAAAGCGTTAGATCGCAAAATTCGAACTGGAATCGGAGCTCAATTTTGCAAAAGAGAAAGTAAACAGGAAATCCATTTCGTTCATGTGAGAAAGATAGCAGGAAATAATCGACTTTTTCGGAGCCATATAAAACTTGGCAATCCTTTTGGGAAAATTCACAAAAAAATTTTGTTCTGAGCTGCAAAAAAGTGAAAATTTGCAGGTTTTATCTATTTATGTGCTGCATTTTCTTTTCGCTTTTGAATTCATTATTTCGTCGATCTTGGCAGCCTTATTCCTCATCATGAAATTTCTAGCCAAAATCTGGGCGCGGCCCATACGTATGTAAATACTGTACAGCAGTCTTTATTTATTGCTAAATTTTTATTGCTAAAATCTATTTGAAAAAATCACAACTGCATTTTTTTCTTGCGTCACGATTCTTTTTTCTCTCTGGAAGCTATCGTCTTTCGAATTATGGCTCATGTGAGGCAATGTGCAATTTTTCCCGCGTCGTGCCAAATACAATAAATCCAAATGCGAGACTGTGGAAATGTGGGTCTCCACGATTCCGCCTGTTGCCGACGGGGCCCGAGTGAAAACATGCATCCGAGTCGCCGACGTTGTGAAAGAGAGGCAGTATTTTCGTCGCCGCCCCCGGGTCGGCTGCGCCGCCGCCTCGCCGCCACCTTGTGGTCTCACAAAACAACGCGAGGCGTCTACGCGGAAGCGGATCGGCGGCAATCGATTTTTCCAGCCGATCTCGCCGGTTTCCTCCTTTCTCTGCTGCCTTCTTGATTAAAATGACAAGTGTTCCCACGTAGTGGAATCGGGAAGTCAATTTTGAAATGTAAATACTGTCCTCAGTATATTTTTTCCTTCATCAACCTTTCTGGAAGAAATTATTGTATGGAAAACAAATTACCAAAATTTGGCAGACATTAAAATTATTACTAAAATATTTCAAAGTACAGATTGGACTGGGAAATAATGCGCTGCTTTCGAACAGTGATTTATCCTGAATCTTAGAAGCTACAATGAAATTTGCATTCATTTTATTTTCCACAGATGGAAAGCAAATTTTCAAGAAATTGGTATAACTGCTTAAATTTTGAAAATGTTCAGCATCCCTGAAAAACTGGCGTGTGCTGGTGCACTCTCGTATTTCATTTATAAAATTGAAATCATTATAACGATGATCGAAGAGCTCTAGCTCTAAAGTTTTCTGCAAGATTATAGTTTTAACCACTCAGGACATTTTTATTTTTAAATATTTGACTTATTTTTTAGCACACCCT